TCTGAGCAGCGATGGCTACACCATGAGGGAAACTAATCAAGAGAGGGAGAAAGAATAGTAGAGGAGAGAAAGAGTGAAAAAGGAAATGAGAGGGAGGCTGGCGACGGGGTATGTAAACCCTGAAAAAATGAATCATTATATATATATATATATATACAAATAATAATTTTTTAAAAAAGGTATATTTCGGTCGGTTCGGTCGGTTATAAGGGTTTTCTACTAGCCAACTGACCGACATTATGAAAAATGTCAAACCGACCGTCGACAATCGACCGCCGGCCAACCGACCAGTCATTGAAAACGACCGATCAACTTTGGTTTTGGTCGATCTGACCAGTTTGGTCGGTTTCGTTGTACACTCGTAATCATCGCTACCTTTTTTTTCCCTACCAATTGCTACCCTTTTTTTCCTATCGATCGCTACCTTTTTTTCCTATCGATCACTAACTTTTTTTCTTCTATCGATTTGTTCCTTTTGTTCCCTTTTTTCTATCGATCTGCTCATTTTTTTCTATTGATCTTCTCTTTTTTTCCTATCTTTCTCTCCTCTCTCTTTATCGCTCTCGCTAAATCTAGCGAATTTCTCTCATGACGATGAGAAATATGAAGATTATGAGAAAACTTGAAAAACAAAATAAATAATTTAAGAAACAAAATAAATAATTAGAAAAAAATTTTAAAAGAGAAAATTAAGGAATAAAAAAAATTTGAAAAACAAAATAAAGAATCTAAGAAAAAATTTGAAAGAGAAAAATAAGGCACAACCTTGGGAGAGGAGTGAAAAGTAATTTTCTATCCGTATAACAAGTTCAACGACCAAAATGAAGATTTTAAAAATTTAAGAACAAAATGAAATAAACCTAAAGGGGGGTCATTTGTTTTTGGGGATTTGTATTGGGTAGCACATTAATTTTCAATATTTAGCGATATGAGATGCGTTTTTCATATTTTCAGATATAGCAACTTTATGAGAATCCTAATTTTTAGCTTCAATTTTTAACCCATTTCTGTTCGAGTTTTTACTAGATTTTTTATGTGATGAAATTGTTAGATATTTAACAGAGGAATTGATTGAGATCTAAGAGAGGAATTGTAATATTCAATGATTGATGAATTGGTAATTGTTGGGTTTTTGAGTCATCGATTAGTTTTTTGGATTT